TTTTTTTTCATACAGTAGTTCAAACGGAGTTTTGTTGCCTATCACAAGTGAGGGAATCATGTTTATCAAATATACAGTAGTGAGAACAAAATCACTCCAATACCCATCATCTAAACTCTATAGAATTTCAATGCTCTTGTTATGTTCAATATTTGTTGATGTTTTCATTCTACTCTCCCATTCTGTTAAGGGGTTTCCACATAACTCCTTTGGTGCAATATTCCATTATCATCATAAAACTTACTCATTTTGAACTCCTTTCCATTATCACTTCTAATAACCTTGACTTTTTCTATTAAACTGTCTTTCAACAAACACACAAAACCTCTATAAATTAATATATGTTTTAGCTTTAGACTTCATCATATATATCCATGTCCATTTACTGTAATCATCCACAATAGTTAAAAAATATTTATATCCATCATATAAGGATTTACTGTAAGATCCCCATACATCACAATGTATCAAATCAAAATAATTTTTGGCTCTACTGTTACTTTCACAAAAAGGAAATCTATGCATCTTAGTTAAGGGGCATATAGTACACAACTTACAACTTTCTAATTTCACAACATTTAAACTCGTAATTATCTTAAAATAGGATTGGTTCCCAAGCTTGTAGTACTAATTGTCAAAAGAATCTTCTTCGTTGCTGGGTCCTGAGGTTACTGATCCCACAAAAAAAGTTCTAACCTAAATCTTTCAAGTCTCTAAAATCTCTGAGTTGGTAGAGACCATTCTTAGTTTCCCCCATTTCAAGAGTCTTTCAAGTCATAAGGTCCTAAATAATATAGTGCTCTTGTGAAAAAATTAGACAACACTTGGTATCTTGTGCCATTTTTCTAGGTGATATTAAATTAAAGTTAGTGGGAACATATAGCGCATTATTAAACACTAATCTATCACTCAGTTTTATTGTCCCAACATGTGAAACTTTGACCCTTTCCCTATTTAGTCAAACAACTTCAAACTCAATGTTTGAAGTGATCTCAGTGTATAAATGTGATGCATGGATAATATGATCTGAATCTCCTGTATCTATGATCCAGGGAGCTTATATGCTTTCATCTATGTTATCTGAATTTGCACTAAAGTAAAAAAGCTTACTAGTGAAAGTTGTTGAGTCCAAATTCTGTGGTCTCTCTAGCTGACTGAACCAGATTAATAGTGGACCTATTTTGCTGAATGGGAAACATCAACTAGTTGTACTGCTCTATTGTTATCAATGGGTGTTCATCACAAGTAGGCTAACCTACCGGTTCATTGGCAGAGACCTGGTTGACATTGGCCTGCCTGGTTTTAGTTTATTGTTTCTGCCCTTTAGGCTGCCCCTTGAAACTATATTAGGTTTCAACTATGTGTCCAGGTTTGCTACAATAGGAACATATGGGTATATTCGAGTTTGCCTTATAGCATCTTCCCAATGAGTGCCCATTTACTTTGCAATGAGTGTAGAAATATTTATCCTTATTCGAGTTTATGGTTTTCATTAATTTACTGATTTCCCTAATGCTAAAGGCCATGGCCTTATTGGTCATGAACTCCAAGGATATCTCCACATGTTTCTCTTCCTATTGAATGATGGAAAAGACTTCATTCATACTAGGCAGAGGCCTCATCATCAGGATTTGGCCTATCATTCCTTTGTAGGATTCATCCAAGCCAATAAGGAACTTCATTATATAGTCTCTATCCTGATATTCAATCACAGTCTTAAGACCCCCACAAGTGCAATTGGGCATTAACTCATAGTTAATTAATTCATCAACCAAATTGTTCAACTTGGTCCAGTAGACCCTAACTGGATCTTGACTCTGTAAGAGATTGATAATAGATGGTTTAATCTCAAATGTTCTAGGTGCGTTCTGTTGAGCGTGTCTTTGGTCAAGGTCTAACCACAACTGATGGGCCATGTCAACATAAAAGGCGCTGGCTTTAATTTCTAGTGATATGGCGTTCTCCATCTAGGTAATTATAATGTCGTTACATCATAACTATTGCTCTTTGAGTGGATCAGTGGGATCTGTTAGCTTAGTTAGGGTTCCATCAATGAACCTGAGTTTGTTATGGATTCTAAGCACTCGTTTCATAGACCGAGCCCATGTATAATAATTATTTCCCTCTAAAAACTAAGGTACTAAGACTGTGCTAGAGTTTAAATCATTTTCTATATAGTACAGGCTATTAGGATTCATAGAGTCTAAGCTAGTTCTGTTCAAAACACTAGGATTCTGGTTTGCAGTAGTTCTATTTGAGTTTTCACTTTCTATACTTAGTTCCAATCTGATACCATGAAACAAAATGCAAACTTTCACTGATTAAACTTCCTATCTAGATAATATCTACTAGATTTATGAAGGAAGTAGCAGGAAAATATCTAGAATCATTTGGAGAGATAGCACCGATGAGCACCGATGAAAGGAACCCTAACTAGGGTTTCTGGGAATTTTTTTTCGAATGAATGGCATATGCAGAAACATGCCTTTTATACTTCCCGACCAGCACCATGTACACCTGCAAAGCACAGCAACAGAACAACCACAGAATTAATGAAACGCATAATACAGGGTATATAAAAGGCGGGTTGGGCTCACAACCCACTAGAAAAACACCAGCCCAATAACAAATTATGTGCCAATATTCATAAGTAATAAAGAAAAAATCAGATCTAGATTACGAGAATATTAATAAACTATATATATATTTATATATATATATATCTATAGACCTCATGTATAATTAATGATCCTAATGAAGTATCGCAGCATGTTGGTAAGCTTTTGTTGAACTTGACATGTAAAAAATATTGAAACAATAATATTAGAATTAAGATAAACCTGAATAAGATTTGATATAATCTTAATTAATTAATTAGTTGTTGTCTAAATAAGCTGGAACAACCTTGTCGACATTGAAATATCCAATATTTAGTGGCCTAACGTTGTCAGGTTGACCACGGTCTTAGAGTAGCTCACATGAGCTTAACTTCAATCAAAGAGTGGAGTCTAATTAATTTCGACACACAGGAGATGACACGACTACTAGAGAGGACCGACATAAGTATTATATAATATATATATATATATATATCTTACGTCAGTAAACATTATCATCGTTTATCTGCATATGATATAGCAATTAACCAACAATTCTTGAACAGTACTAATTAGTGTATATACGTATCTAAGTCTAACTAACCGCCCAGAGACATTTAAATTAGTGTATAAATTATCTATAACGTTTTAAATATATAAAGTGGAATATGTACGTACAAAATATGAATTTTTTTTTTTTTTCTAAAGCTAAAAGGTTTTATTGAATTAAAAAATAAATATATAAATACAAGTGGTATTAATCCCGGATCAAATATAAATATAACAACCAAATTATAGAAATGCTAAATAATAGGTAGTGATAAAATATAAAGACCAGTTCATTTATTTGTAAATTGATTATTTAGTTCCTCTCACACTCTTTCTGTAACAATTATTGCCCAATTGTTTCATATTTTTTCAGCTTTAAATCTTTATCCATACAACGACCAATTATACACAACTGGAAAAATTAAGCTAACACGGAAAAGATTTAAAGTCATTCAAATTGAGTATTGAATTGAAAAAGAATGTAAAAACTTGTAAGAGAAAAAAAGAGAGAGAGAGAGAGAATAGAAGAAACATATTAGGGGTGTAGTAGCTTTGATACCATATAGAATTTCTACTGAATAAAGGTGAAGTATATATACACATATAATTTTAATTAACAATCAATTAAATATTATAATTCTAATAAATTACTCAATATGTAATATTTGCTGTCAATCACCTAATTTTTTAAATTTATTGTTAACTATTTAATTTATAAAATTTACTGTCAATTAAATTATTTATAATAATACGAAAATAAATAAATAATTATTAAACAAGAACTAAAACATATACTTACAATTTGAATTAATAAGTAATTGGTATACACACACCCGCAGATCTTAATGAATTCAGAATCGAAGTAGTTTTGATTAGATTAATACCGAATTTAACAGACACAAATGAAACAATATGGGATGTTGTGCCTAGCTCTATCCAATTATAGACAATAAGTGAGTGAACCAACAGAGAGTACACATACATGTTAAATAATTGAATTCAAAGAAAATTAGATACACATGAGCCCAAAAATTAAACTAATAAAAAATAAATAAATGTAGTAAAATAACTTTAATTGAATAATGGAAAAGTAGTTCATATATAATTAAATGAAGTTTGGACAGCTCCAATCATATTATGAGCTTTGGAGAAAAGGGGGCCATGAAAGCACAATGCCTACCCCATCATCATCATCTTCCTTTCATTCTTGTTGGCGGTGGTTGCAGAACCCTAAAAACAACCAGAGAGAATGAATGCGTTTTGGTTTTGAAAGTTCAGATTTTAAGGTTGAGCGTCGTAGTTTCGATGGAGGCCTGCCCCCTGCAATCTACTTGCCACAACGTCCGAGAGGGACCCACTTTTCGTAACCATAATGGGTCCCACCATTTCTTTTTTTTTTTCATTAACCCAAAAAATAAATAAAAAACAAAAAAACAAAAAAACAGTTCCACCCTGCCCTCTCTCCATCCAGATAGGTAGGTGGCTCTTCTCGAAGCATAGTAAAACTAACCCCACTTAAAAAAGGGTTTTTTGCCTTTCTTTTTTTCTTTTTCCAATTTTGGAGTTCTATTTTTTTTTTATAAAATTAATTATGTTATTATTAATATTGAACTACTACTTTATTATTAAAATTTACAATTAATAAGGGAGCATGAAAACAAAAGCTATCTCTCTAGCTTTTTTTTTTTTTTTGACCCTTTTATGTCTTGCAAATCACATATATATATATGCTCACTCTACTCTACCCATTTGGGTATACAGCATTCTTGTCAGTTATACATCTATCATTAATTTTCTCTCTGTCTCTCTCGTTTTCTTCTTCTTTTGATTTGGTGAAGTTAGATGCCAGAAAATATGAGCATATCTGTAAATGGACAGTCTCAAGTGCCTCCTGGCTTTCGGTTTCATCCCACAGAGGAGGAGCTTCTGCATTACTACTTGAGAAAGAAGGTCTCCTTTGAGGAGATTGATTTAGACGTTATTAGAGATGTTGATCTAAACAAGCTCGAACCATGGGATATACAAGGTCGTCTACCTGCTCTCCTTTTTTTTCAATTGCTTGCTGTTTTTTTCTTACGTGCATGTAATGTTTTAATAATCTTCTGAAACAAAGTCATCTTTCTTCCTCCTTTTCAGTTTCAATGTATTTTCACTTTCACTATACTTATTATATCTATACATGTAGCATATATACACATATATATAGAATAGACGTTTTGTTCACGTCCCGGCTAATAGTACTTATTGGAAAGCTCTTTTCCCATTTCGGGATTTGTGCAGAAAAGTGCAAAATAGAACCACTCCTCAAAACGACTGGTATTTCTTCAGTCATAAAGACAAGAAGTACCCCACTGGAACAAGAACAAAAAGAGCACCGGCTGCCGGCTTTT